CGACTGTTGCTCGAGGCTGGAGCTGACAAAGATGCAGCAACCACAGATGGGGCAACGCCATTGTACATGGCAGCCCAGGGAGGTCACTTGGAAGTTGTGCGACTGTTGCTCGAAGCCTGAGCTGACAAAGATGCAGCAATGACGGACATACGGCTTGTCCATAGTAACGCGAGCCTTTTCACCGGAGTCTCTCTACCTTATTTAGTTGTAAATTTAGCGCCGGACGTGTTTTCTTTGCTCGGACGCCAGGCCCCGTACGTCCAGCGCTCCACAGATGTTGTTATTGGAGAGAGCCATGAGCCATGGCAGTCATGCGCCTTTGACAGAACTCCCGGCTCCAATGCCAAAGACCGGCCACAGCCCTATACTATACCTGGATCTTCCAACGAAATGCCAAATGTCAGCTTTTTCATTCATAAAAGTCAACCAAAAGGCAGAAATTTGGCATAGTTCCTATCACTTCCAACGGGTGCCCTGTCTGGAGACCTGTTTACGTAGAGTAGGGTAGTCTAGCCAGGACACCCAGACTGGATGATCCTGGTTGGAAGATCCTATGGCAGTGGTGCCTCAAAACTGACAGTGGTAGACTACTAGACATGGTCAACCTAACAGGGTGAGGACCTGGGGTGACCTGGGCTCACAGCCTGGCCGTCATCCACCAAGCTGGGAAGTGCGCCGTTCGAGTCTTGAGGAGTCTCCTAGCATTCCAACTGCGATGTAATTTAGGAGGATATCTATATACCCTGGGAGTCAAAGACTATAAAAATAATAGTCTTTAGGGGAACTGAAAGGGAACTTCCTTTACTTCAGGCGGTCAAAATATAGTCTTTGGACTTCTAGGGGTATATATATAAATGTATATGCACCTATTGTCCCTAGGGCCCTAGGGCTGGCCCACATCCTGAGGCGTAGTTAGACCACCCTGGGTGCCACCCCAACCAGCTTCTTGTGGGATGTGAGCAGGGAACCCCTGAGGAACCCTAGGAGTCTTGATAGCCATGCCGGCACCATCCAATCTGCAGTGGCGATCTTTGGGATGACGTCGGCACTTGTTGTGTTTTCTTTTGATTAGGCGGACTCTTCTAAATAGACCTCCAAGTAGTAATGGAAAAGTAAATCAATTTCAACATGTGTTGGAAACCGTTTCTATACAAGATTTCTGTTATTGAGACCACTATAATTAATTAGACAGATCCTTCTGTTTTTCTATATACATATAGATTCATAGATTCTTTTGTAGGACACGATTTGCTTGGAACACAGATCTTGGAACGTCTTGCTTGGACGGACCGGATGTGGTTCACATCCCGTAGGTCTTCGAGCTCCGGTTCACCAGCTGTTCCTTCCTGCTGCCCATGCATCCAAGTTCACACAGGCGTGGGTGCCGAACTCTCTTCCACCAAGAGTTCACGCAGGCGTGTGGTGTTAGCAGGCGCCACAACATGAAAAGAGCAACTGGGGAGAGGGGTGCTGTAATGGTGTGATCCTTCAAATAAACATTCCCAGACACGACCTGTTTGGAACATGTGCCTACATTGACCCCTGTAGTCACTCCAACTGCTCGTTCAATAGGCCAGTCCCGTGGATGGTCTGGGATTGTTTGGTCACCCGGGTCGACTTCAGATCTGACATCTTTACCCTCCCTCAACTATCGAAGTGGACATCCACCTGTTTGTATGGGAACATAGTCATCCAAGGGGCCTACTTTCCACTCTATTATTTTCAATGAGTATGGAGACTATTTACAACACGATATACTTTGCAGGGATACATTTACATGGTCTCCCGCCCCCGGGATTAAAGCGTAACACACCGGCATTTTCTTATTCCGTAGTGTTTCGGCTTTAGATGTCCTGCAGCGGGTGCTACAACCGGTTGGAGTTGCCTGTCGGTACTTCGGGGAGGTGTGATCCCTGTTATTTGGCCAAGAAGATCCAGACCGTGGTGAGCAACAGGTATCCCACTGCGAAAAGCCGCGAGCTCGTTT